GCCCAAGGCCTGAAACTGCCAAAGTTGTGACGTTTTGCTACGGGAAAGGCAAAACCTGCCAATGCAGGAAAATTCCTTTCCGGCCCTTCAACAGCAACACTGACGTAGCAGCGCCTGCATACCTGTGGAGAAGAGGTTAATCTGCAAAAGAAGACTTAACTGAGGGAGGGGAGGGTGGGAGAAGCTCTGGAGCCGACTGCCACTTCGCAGTCCCCTGGCAACGCTTCCCCAGACGGGATTGGACGATTGGCTGAGGTAGGCGGAGACCTCCAGGTATCCAGCCTGGGGAGGATGAAGCCAGTCCAAACTACCAGGAGTAGCACTGGTGAGGCATCTGATCAAGGCTTGTATTTTAAAATGAGCTTAAAAGATATATTTGCAGATGCTTGTGTGTTTTATGCCAGGCATAAAGCAGCTGGCTGGGTGCTTTGGCAGTTGTTTGTCTTCCTGCTCAGAGGCCCCTCTGATTTATAGCAGTAGCAGGAGACACGCTTCTCAAAGTTGTAAAAGGAAATTACAGGCTGGGAGCAAAAGGTCATATTGACCATACAAATTACAGAATACAATCAAGCTGCAAAAACACAATTAAGAGTTGGTAAATAGTGAGAATTATTGTTTAACAGAAATACCATGTGCCTCCCATCAGACTCGAGCCACATCTTCCTAAGGTTAAAGGGCAAGAGCTAATAGCAACAGCAGCTGGCTTGAAAGGCGGATGTAAATTTAAGGGGTTGCTTTTGGAAACTGTTTTTACTAAGTTCCTTTCCTTCTAAAAAGCTATATATGTTAATGTATGAAATATATTGGCTTAAATGTAATTATGCAAAGGATTTAGAAAGTAAGAAATGTTAGATTCTTATGTTAGATTCTTATTTCATTGATGGTGTGTGAGAAGGTGAACCCAAGATCTCTGTTTAAGATAAAATTTAATGAGCCATCTGTTTTGGAGTGAATAGGGCAATAGGGCAATAGGACAATAGGGCAAAGATGATCTGGTAATTAAGGTGCCTGGTCGAGGCAAATATAAAATATATGGCTACTTGTCTGCCATTTATGGATAGAAGGAAATATAGCTCTTTGTCTCCCATAAAAGGTAATAGGAAATGGGTGTATCTTTTATGATTGGTTCTAGCAAACAGCCAATAGGAATTTCAACCAGGCTGATTGGACAGAGGCAGCCAAAGGAGGAGCAAGGGGGCTGGGCTGAGGAAATATAAGTGCTGGCCATCAGGGCTGGAGTGGGCAGAGCTTTGGTAACCATATACCACTGTGTCTCTCATTTATTTGTCTTACAAATAAATTATTATTTTAATTTCTCTATTGCTGCGTTGAATATTTCATTCCAGCTAAGCCTTAACCACAAGCAGGGTGCTACACTGGGATCCGGGGGGCTGCCCATGACCATGCAAAAGGCACCCCCATTTGAAGTGGGAGCGGTCATTTTTAAAATATGTCTTGCAAGATATGATTCCATCCCAACTACATTGTAGAATGTTCTTGATGTTTCCTGCTCAGGTTTGAACTTTCTCTAAATCCAAGTGACAATTGTTATGGTCAATAGCTAATCCAAAATGCAGTTGGAAGCCTGTCTTAGCAAAAATAGTTTTCAAAGGCACCTCTGAGCAACACGCTACTGTAGTCCAATTTGGAGACTCTGTAAGTGTGAATGATCATGGCCAGTGTTTCGATCCAGACAGGACCATGGCTGAAAGATTGTCCCCAACCACCTGTTGTCATTTATATCTCCACTGGCACAGCTGGATCCAAGAGGCCCCTTGAGTTGGTCTGAGAGGGTTCAGCCATATCCAGAGATGAACTCCATGACATTGGCTAGAAGAGTACTGAGATAGGTGCAGAAAAGGATCAAAGACTTCTGACCACCAGAATTGCATGGAACTCATGGTCCTTCCATGCACACAAAACCACTCCTGCTTACAAAACAAGCCTATTTATTTCACCAGTATCACTTGGGAGTAATAATAATAATAGTAATAATAATAATAATAATAATAATAATAATAATAATAATAATTTATTTATACCCAGCCCATCTGGCTGGGTTTCCCCAGCCACTCTGGGTGACTGGTCCTTCTTGTTGCGGAACGGTATATTAATGCAGAGTCTTCTTCATAAACAGAATAAAGACTTTACTGAAGAAAATAAACTTGTTCATAAACAGCATAGTTAAAGAGCATACACAGAGTACTCATAACAGCTTTCTTAGTCTTCACAAAGGCACAGATCTCAGTTACTGATTAGCTGTAGTCCTGGAGCCTCTCTGTCTTCAACAAGACACACATACTGAGCTGAGACACACACATTCGACAGACAGAGGCCCACAGAAAGGCTTGCTACTTCTATAGAGAACCCAAGATGAGTCACAAGTTACAGGGACGCAGCATTTTACTGCTAACAGTTAGGCCTGAAAGATTTGTGTACGCCTCATAGGTTGCAATGCCTAGGCCTTGCCTGCTTCTGCTCTCAAGAACCTTTGTCTCATGACACATCTCCTGCAAAGCATCCAGATCCAGTAGATCCATCCTATCTTCTACCCTCCCACTGCTCAATATCTGAAGCTTCACCAGACTGAGTTCCAATTTAAACCCTTATCCAGTTCATTCACAACTCAAGGCACCAGTGTAATACATTCACTGTTTCTCCTCAGGTGCAATAAACGTTGTTAGGCTATGGGCAACCTTCACAAGAGGCTTCTTGTTGAGAAGGCCAGGTGATGTCCTGTCCAGACTGGACATCTAAATGTACTGCAACCATGTTGTGGAAGACATGAATCTTTTAAATCGTTGAAATAATTGGAAAATATATCACAACGTGCCTCCAGGGCTTCACCCCTTGGAGGCCCAACAATAGCACTTGTCACCATTGGGACCTTGGCCAGTTGTGGCATTGCACAACAGCTTTTGCCTAGCCTGCCAAAGATCACCGAATAGTGTGACCAAATTCCCTAAGTTCCATTGCAGCCAAATACTCCCACAACCCAGTCCAGCTGTTAGGGACAATTTCCTACTGTACCCCAATAACCCTCTGGTTGTACTTATGGCTTCTTGGAAATTTCATCCACCTTAAAAATAAACAAAAACCTTTTGTGTTGCCTCCCTCTTGTTGCAATGCAGATTTGCTCTCTCACTAGTACCATTAACTACTTGTGAGTCGGGTTGAAGAAAGAATCCAGAAAGTTTATTTACTGCAGTAAAGTGTTTCAGCGGGATTGCTCCACAAAGGCTGGAACCCCACCCCAGAGCAAGTGTGTGTGTGTGTGTTACTTACAGGTATATTCCACAAAGCATGAAGATTTCCTTCAATCATGTGCATCATCACCTCATTCCAGGAAGTATACAAGATGTCGTTAGGAAGAATTTATTTAGTTACATTTCATTTTAGTGCACCTGCGCTTCCAGCATAAGCATATTCGTATTCAGGTCGTATTCATTTGCTGACATCACTCAACATTTACTGTGCATAAGCATAACCTTCGCATGGATACATTTTGTAGCAAAAGCTCTTGTGCTTTGTATTGTGTATGCTGTGACCCTGCATGTTACATGTATAGTTGTGTGTATGGCTATTGTGTTTTTGCGTTAAGCGTTTTAGCTCTTCTCTTCCCATGGTGGGGGCTACTTGCAAAGTGACATGCTTTCTCAGCAGTTTCTTTAAAGGGATAGGCTACTTTGTCTTTAGTTTCCCATTCCAAAAGTATACCATATGCCTTTTCAATAATTTAGAATTATCATCTATAATATCCCTTTTGAATTTGGAAACCGTGTAAGTAAATCCTCTCTTATTGTCCTCTATAAAGATTTCATTTTGTTGCCTGTGATTCAACCAACCCTTTATCTCATCATAATCTTTAAGTTTTTCCTTTCCTTCTTGATCAGTTAATTGATCTCTATATGTTGGTCATATTCCTTTCTTTGTTGACACTTTGGATGATAATGCTTCAATAGGTGATAGCCACCACTGGGTTCTAATTTCCAATACAGTGGTACCTCAGGTTACATACACTTCAGGTTACAGACTCCGCTAACCCAGCAATATTACCTTGGGTTAAGAACTTTGCTTCAGGATGAGAACAGAAATCATGCTCTGGTGGCGCGGCAGCAGCAGGAGGACCCATTAGCTAAAGTGGTGCTTCAGGTTAAGAACAGTTTCAGGTTAAGAAAGGACCTCCGGAACGAATTAAGTACTTAATCCGAGGTACCACTGTAAATCTTTATATTTTCCCATCCTTTATGTACTTTTGCTTTTCCATACCATCCTTATACAGTGGAGTCTCGGGTAATCTTGCCTCCAGCTTATGTCACCCTCGGCTTGAAACCAGAGCAAACCCAAAGTACTGGAATGTGTTACTTCTGGGTGCATGCCGTTCGCACATGCGTAGAAGCACTAAATTGTGTGTGTGCATGCGCAGAAGGGCTAAATCGCGCCACACGTGTGCGCAGACGCGACACTTGGGTTGCGTCGTTTTCAGGTTAAAGTCGGGCCTCTGAAACGGTTCCCCGCAGTAACCTGAGGTTCCAGTGTATATCACCAAAGCTTTGGTAAAAGATGGCTTCCTTTTCTGATGTGCCTAGCATTTGGTTCAATAGTTTAGCCAAGCCTTTGTTGCCCCTCAAGCATTTTCTGCAGGGGAAACCTCCCTTCTTGCTAGTGCTTTGACTTCCTGCTTTGACTTCCTGCACTGTCTCTAGAGCTTGCAGCACAAAGTAGATGGCATACAGAAAGATATCCCAGATGAAATCCAGGAGAATCTTTATATCTCAGCAGACCTTTTGGAAAAGATACCCTACTGGCTAACCAATCTGATGTGCCTAATATTCAGAAGATTAGCCAAGCCTTTGCTGAAACTCAACAACTTTCTGTAAAGGAAATCTCCAGTTTATTCCAATGCTTTGACCTCCCAGTTTTAAAATAATAATAATAATAATAATAATAATAATAATAATAATAATAAAATAAAAACTGTTGTGCCAATGATTTACTGTGTCATTTTTCATAAATGCAATCAGGAAGGTAGTGGTGGTTTCTTTCTTTCTTTACTCTCTGGAAGGGTTGGGAAAAACCACTAAATTGCTTGTGTGCCCGGGACTTCTTCCCTTCACTCCTTACAACTGTATTTCCCCATTTCCCCCAAGTAACTAGAAACAGAACAATAGCAAGAATATTAAAAGAACATAACAAATAGATTGTGCATGAATAGATACATTATCAGTCCCATGCTTTCAACCCTGTGCGAACCAGGCAATTCCTTGCAGGAACAACTGCTGGGGAATGGAGGTATTGGCCGGTATAGCTATATATAACCCACCCATCTGGCTGGGTTGCCCCAGCCACTCTGGGCAGATTCCAAAATATATGAAAACATAATAAAACATTAAATATTGAAAAACTTCCCTAAACAGGGTTGCCATCAGATGACCTGAGGTTCGGATAACTCCATACCCTCCAACAGGGGTGCCAAGTTGAATAAAATATTGTGGGGGCCCAGGTAAGCTCTGCCCCACATAAACGATCATATGATACAGTGTACACAGAACATCTGAATGGGAATGATCATCAACTTTGGGGGGGGGTCACCCCCTCAAATATTTTATTGTGGGGGCCAAAGTCCCATCAGTCCCTAGGAGTTGACTCCCATGCCCTACAGCATTTCTCTGATGAAAATACAGTAGATACATTCTAAGGAAAAATGGGACATTCTGTTATCGAATAAGAAATTGGGACAGCTTCTTAAAATCTGAGACTGTCCCTGGAAAGTAGGGACACTTGGAGGGTCTACAATATTTGTGGGAAGGAGGTTGTGCCCCCTCAGTGTTGAGGGGAGGAGGAAGCCAAGCACGGAGCCGAACATGACCTAACTTCAGTGACCAGCTCCTCCAGAGCCCTTGACCTCCTACCCGACAGTGTGATGTCTCATGCATAAGTCACATGCCAGGCCCTCTCAATCTTGGGGGCCACTTGGTGCCTCTAATGTGGGCCTGTCAGCCTTCCTAGTTGTGGTCATATTATTCCACTCAACTGTAGTGAAAATGCGGGAGACAATTGTATTTCGAGGAGTTAGGTGGCATGTCCCTTTCCCTTTGTTATGTACTGAGTTGAATAGGATCCAAAATGCAGCAGTCTGATTGGTTCTAGAACAATAGCATCCAAAATGCAGCAGTATGATTGGTCTTAGAACAATAGGATTCAGAATGCAGCAGTCTGATTGGTCCTAGAACAATGCAGCAGTATGATTGGTCTGCAGGAGCCACCCAACCCAGCTCCAGATGGAAGTGAATCCACAACCTGATTGGCCTACAGGAGAATTCCGGAATTAGCCAATCACGTGCAGCCCATTGTGTAAATAATGTATATAAAGCAGATACTTTGGGGGAACATTCATTCCTCCTCACCACTATGAGCTGAATAAAGAGCATGAAATCCACTCTTGACTCCGAGTATATGTCACCCTTTAACATCCCCAGTTGGATTCTTGTGTTTCACACACCTGTCGGGAGTTTATTGGGTTCTTCTGTGTTGCAAGTGCTGGCTGGATGCCAGATGCAGGTAGTGGGAGACACTCAGCCACTCTGTATTAATCATGAGTAATGCCAGGTGCACATGATTACATCAATGCAGGCTATAAAAGCCATAGGTGGGAAGGGCCTGGTGAGCTTCCGCCCAGATCAAAGGACCTGATGCTGGGAGACCGATGGTCGGGGTCTTTCTCCTGTTGCTCTACCTGGGGATCCGGGCAGCTGAAGGGGAGACTGGGTGGCCCTTGTCGGGTATGTTTTGTGTTGTGCTTTGTATGTATGTTTGTTTGTTAATAAAACTGTTTTGGTTCCCCTTCCACCTCCTCATTCCTTTTGTTCTGATATTCTTGGAAAGAACTGCCGCATTTGGCAGCACATCAACCAAATAGATTTTACAACCCACTGAATCCTGAAGAGTCCATCATGAATCCCTGTAAATAGTTGGGCATTCAGCCTTCCAGAACTCTCACCAGAGCATTCTGCTTCACTAATCTGCTTTTGCTGCTCAACTTGAGATCGAGTCAAGCTTCAACAATGCAATTGCGCTGGCTCTTCATGGTTGCCCTTCTGTTTTCTGGGATGATCATGTTTTCTGAAGGTAAAACATACACTGAAATTAAAAACATCTGGACATAAACGACCAAACAAAAAAATGGGGTTGGAAGTCATGTAGTACCACCGGTCCCATCCATGAGGTGGACTGAGGTAGGTGCCTCAGGTGGCATAATTCAAGTAGCCCTTCTGTGGATGGAAGAACCATGTTTCCACCCTTGAGGATGTTTCCTCTAAGATAATACATATTAGTACATCATATACAGTTAGTGCATGCATGCTGACTCTGAATTTGCTTACAAGCAAATTTATTGAAATTCAATCAGTTATTCTTCTAAAAATCACACAGTGAATTAATTTCTTCAATTGGGTGACAATCATAACTAAAATAAATATGAAAAATAAGGAAAATACTTTAGTCAACTAAGAATAAGCGACTCCTGTGCACCAGGTATCAGGGTCCGTTTTTGGTGACAGCCCAATTTAAAATAAATGTGAAAAAACAGGAAAATGATTTACATCAATAAATCTCTCCATGCTATTGCACTCTGTACATTTTCTCTTTAAATCACCCTTCTCTCTGTGCTGATCAGACTGCCTTGCAAGTCAGTATCTCATTCTCCTTATTTGTCTAAATTTCTTGCCATTTTCCCCTCTTACAGGCGCTTTTGGAAAGAATTGTAATCAACTGGGAGGCATTTGCATTAATCCCGCCTTCTCCTTAAAAATTTGCCTCCCAAAAAGCCATCAATATAACGACTGTGCCGTTCAAAAACTGTGCTGCAAGTAAAAATGATGTGCAGCTCCAGGCCAGTGCATGGTTCTTATCCTCGACTACCTGAAAAAAGAGATGGATCTTCAGTCGGGGAAGCCAAGAAATCTTATTTCTGCTCAACACAGATGAAGCAGCATATTCTACTCATTAAAAACATGTCAAAATGCAGGTGTGAAATTCATTTTTAAAATATGTGTTGCAAGATTTGACTGCATCCCAATTACAATATAGAATATTCCAGAGGTTTGCTGCTCAGGTTTGAGCTTTCTCAAAATGCAGGTGACAATTGTTGTGGTCGAGAGGCTTCCAACTGCATTTTGGATTAGCTGTTTTAGCAAAATAATTTTCAAAGGTACCTCTGAGCAACACACTACTGTAGTCCAATTTGGAGCATGTGAGAGTGTGAATGATCATGGCCAGTGTTTTGTTTGAGACAGGATCATGGCTGAAAGATTGTCCCCAACCACCTGATGTCACTTATATCCCCAGTGACACAGCTGGATCCAAGAGACCCCTTGAGCTGGTCTGAGAGGTTTAACCATATCCAGACATGAACTCCATGACCTTGGCTAGATGAGTACTGAGAGAAGTGCAAAAAAGGATCAAAAACTTCTGAGCACCGGAATTGCATGGAACTCATGGTCCTTCCATGCACACAAAACCACTCCTGTTTAATCAAACAAGTCAAATATATTTATTGCACCAGTATCACTTAGGAGTCCAAATCCCTGGTCAATCTCCTGCAAAACATCCAGATCCAGTAGATCCATCCTATCTTCTCCCCTCCTGCTGCTCAGTATCTCCATCTTCACCAGACTGAGTTCCAATTCAAACCCTTAATCCAGTTCATTCACAATTCAAGGCACCAGCGTAGCACATTCACTATTTCTCCTCAGTTGCAATGAGCGTTGTCAGGGTATGGGCAACCTTCACCAGAAGCTTCTTGTTGAGAAGGCCAGGTGATGTCCTGTCCAGACTGGACATCTAAATGTACTGAATCCATGTTGTGGAAGACATGAACCCTTTAAATCCTTGAAATAATTGGAAAATATACCACATGCTTCCAGGGCTTCACATGGTCAGGCACCCCTTGTAGGCTCAATAATAGCAGTTGGCACCTCGGTTAGTTGTGGCATGGGACAACAGCTTTTGCCTAGCCCAACAAAGATCACTGAATAGCATGACCAAATTCTCTAAGCTCCATTGCAGCCAAATACTCCTACAACTCAGTCCAGTTATTTGGGACAATTGCCCACTGTACCCCAATGTAGCTCTGGTTGTACTTATGACTTCTTGGAACGTTCATCCCCTTAAAACACCCCCCCACACACATTTGTGTTGCTCCTCTTGTGGTGCAATGCAGATCTGCTCTCTCACTAGTGCCATTAACTACTTGTGAGTCGGGTTGAAGAAGGAATCCAGAAAGTTTATTTACTGTAGTAAAGTGTTTCAGCGGGATTGCTCCACAAAGGCTGGAACCCCACCCCAGTGTTGGGAATTCCATTCCACCCCTTGCTGCAGATAGGTGGGATTGTTACATGTCACATGTCTGTTTACATTCCAGCACGGATTGCTGGAGTCCCGTGAGCGGAACATCCGCTCTGTATTGCTTTTCTTTTCTCTCTCTCCAAGAACAACGACTAAGAGAGAGGCCATGTTTTCTTTGTCCTGATTTATGTATAATAAATGCATAGTTTAGTATAGCATCCATGCCTCAAGCCTGATCTGTTGTGTGTTTACTCTGCTGAGTAATGAGTGCTCTTGCATGCACAGCAGCCTGAGTCGCAGGCACATGTCGGAGGAGGATGACTGATGCATCTCTGCAGCGGCAAAGCTGAGAAGGGAGACGCTCCAGCTGGGGCCAAACCAGCTGGCTTTCCATCCCAGGTTCCAACACCCAGAGCCGGGGGGGGGGGGTGTTGCTTACATGTTTATTCCACAATGCATTAAGATTCCCTCCATTCATATGCATCATTAGCTCATTCCAGGAAGTATACAAGCTGTCATTAGCCAGAACTTATTTAGTTACATTTCATTTAAGTGCGCCTGTACTTCTGGCATAAGCATATTAATATTCAGATTGGTTCATTTGTTGACAAAACTCAACATCTACTGTGCATAAGCATAACCTTCGCATGGATACATTTTGTAGCAAAAGCTCTTGTGCTTTGAATTCGTGTGCTTTCAACCTGCGTGTATAGCTGTGTGTATGGCTGCTTCTGTTCTTGTGATAAGCTTTTTAGGTCCTCTCTTCCCATGGTGGGGGCTACTTGGAAAGTAAAATGCTTTCTCAGCAGTTTCTTAAAGCGATAGGCTACTATATGTTCCTTTTAACAGTCACACTCAGGGGTGCTATTATTACATTTTGGGGGCCCTTGCCCCCCATTTCAAGCTACAGTTGCAGGGGGTGGGGTTTCCCCCGTAACTGTCAGCTTGAAAAACCTGGGACACTAGGTGATACAGCACAAATAATTGCCTCGTTAGCAACTCTATTTTTGCCCAGAGGGGTATAAATGCCGTTGCCCTATTCGGATTGGAGCTGCTGTCCGGTGTGCTTGGGGATTTGGAGGGTGAGGCCAAGGTAATTAAACTCTTTCATCCTCTAGGAGCAAAATCTTTCCACCTCCCTGTATCCTGAGCCTTCTTAAAGCAACCCACGTGGCCACCAGAACACTGCTTGGATGGGGTGATGGTGCCCTATGGATTAGCACAATGTGGTGGGCGTCCCCTCCCATTCTCTTACACCTGACGACTCTTCAAGCTTCCCCTTCTGCATAGAACAACTAGCTTCTGGTGTGGTTGGGACGTCTCGTTGCCCGTGTCCTGACCCACTCCAGGGTGGGTCCAGACTCAGGGGTTCCACTGGTGAAGTTTTAACCTTAATCAGAGTCCTTAGCACATGTCCAGGTGCCTTCAGACCTTCTTATGCATCCGCCACTAACTGAAGTAGCTCAGGCAGGGAATCCTTGGTGCAGTGGGGAGGTCGTTACACCAAAAGGAATCCTGTACTGCCCCTATTACCCAACTTCCAGAACATGCACTCAGAAAACTGTGTCTTCCCAATAGGATGCCTGGTGCAAGCTAATGACTTCCTAAAAATCACTGCAACCCCCCCCCCCTGCCCACAAGGTCTGGGTTGCTAAGAGAAACCTGGTGGACAAGAAGCAGCCTTTGACATGCCCATCTGCTTCATCCAACTAAGTCTCTGTTACACATGCCAGGTCAAGTCCTCCATCCATGATCAAGTCATGGATGGCAGTGATCTTATGAGTAATTGACCTGGCATTGCACATCAGCACCTTCAGGTCATGTGGGTCTCCCTTGCTGATTCCAGTATCCATCCTGTCAAGACCAGACCCGGAGGCAGGGATAGTCCTCAAAGAGCGACTAAATAATGCTTCCTCGGTAATGACATGGTCTGGTCTTAGTGTAACTCCTCCTCCTACCCATGATCACTGAGATCGGGTGTCCCAGTGTATCCCCCCCCCCCATGGAACCTGCCCCAGCCATTCTGTTGGCTGGGTCCCACTCCCAGGCAGCCCTGACCCCGCCCTTTAAAAGCAAAATACAACCCACACAAAAAAACCAATAAAACAATAGAAACAAAAAATTATAATAAAAAGTTACAGTCATACTAAAATTAAACAAATCCCTAACCCCAACTCCAACATTTATCCCACCCCAAAACTAAAAAGAGTAAAAGAATAATTTAAAAACATTTTTTAAAAGAACCCTCTCTGTTGTTCAGAGGCCTGTCAGGTCCTGCCCTGGGCCAGGTGGAGAGAGGCAGGAATGGGGCCCCCAGAGAAGGCCAGATGTTGCCCTGTCCAGATGGGATATCTAAACCTATTGCATCCATGTTGAGGAGGATATGAACCTTTTAAATCCTTGAAATAATTGGAAAATATATCACAACATGCTTCCAGGGCTTCACATGGTCAGGCAGCCCTTGGTGGCCCAACAATAGCAGTTGTCATAATTGGGACCTTGGCCAATTGTGACATGGCACTACTGCTGCTTGCTACCACCACTGTTTAAGTCACTTGCTCACCCTGTTTACACCAATGACAGCTCTAGTTTCATTCAATAGCTGTCAAGAGTGACCTGGCAGTAATTTGCACCATTCAAAGTTGGAGTTAACCCTTTATCAGGAAAAACATGATCTGTGCAGACTTCGCTGAGTGTCAGCCCTAAGGAGAACAGCAGTAGGTCTTGTCCCATGGGCTTTTTTGTTTTAAAAAAACACAATTTTTAACTGGTTTTTAAACGAACACAAATACAACGACCATTAAACACTTTGCACTTACCTTGTTTAAATCCCCACGACTTTCCCCCTAGCAATTGGGTACTGCCCCTGCATGCCACCAATATGATGGGAAATATTACATTACATTATTATATCACACCTTATAAGAAGAAGAAGAGTTTGGATTTGATATCCCACTTTATCACTACCCGAAGGAGTCTCAAAGTGGCTAACATTCTCCTTTCCCTTCCTCCCCCACAACAGACACTCTGTGAGGTGAGTGGGGCTGAGAGACTTCAGAGAAGTATGACTAGCCCAAGGTCACCCAGCAGCTGCATGTGGAGGAGCGGAGACGCGAACCCTGTTCCCCAGATTATGAGTCTACTGCTCTTAACCACAACACAACACTGGCTCTCATGACATATGTCAGAGATGTTCACTTTCTGACAGATGGAATGGAATCCGAAGGGAGGGGGGAGAGCCAGAGCTGACAGATAAAGAAGAACCCGAATTGGAGTGGGAAGAGCCAGAGAGAAGTCGGAATCTGACTCCTTTACACAGTGACAGTGAGATAAACTTATCTTGCTCAGGAATACAGGCTAGCGATTCAGAAAGTAACAGCTGAAAGAACAGGATGTCAAAGAGAAGCAGGAAGGGCTGGTAGAACTAGATTCCACAAAAGCCGCAGATTGAATGGTTTAGCCAAAAAGTGAATGACAGGAAAAAGGAGGGGGAAGAGGCGGGGAGTACCTTGCTTCCACTGGAAAAAGAGGCTAGATCCGGCAACTGACTCCAAAAGTGATGAATGAGTTAATGAAGCTCAGACTGCTGAGCCCATTAATTGCTGAATAAATCTGAAGTAACAAAACTGTCAGAGACTGTGTCTTGTGTGGGAGAGCTTACCAACCTGACTGCATACATGGTTCCCTTGACCTTTCAAAAATTTTCCTCACCCTGTGAGGTTGGTTAGGCTATGACTGTCCCAAGGTCAATGAATGTTTATTGTTACAGCAAAACAGCCAGCATAAGGTCCGTATAGTTAAAGATATGGTTTTCCCAGTAGTGATGTATGGAAGTGAGAGCTGGACCATAAAGAAGGCTGATCGCCGAAGAATTGATGCTTTTGAGTTATGGAGGAGACTCTTGAGAGTCCCATGGCCTGCAAGAAGATCAAACCTCTCCATTCTGAAGGAAATCAACCCTGAGTGCTCACTGGAAGGACAGATCGTGAAGCTGAGGCTCCAATACTCCCTGGAAAAGACCCTGATGTTGGGAAAGATGGAGGGCACAAGGAGAAGGGGACGACAGAGGACGAGATGGTTGGATAGTGTTCTCGAAGCTACCAGCATGAGTTTGACCAAACTGCGGGAGGCAGTGGAAGACAGAAGTGCCTGGCGTGCTCTGGTCCAGGGGGTCACGAAGAGTCGGACACGACTAAATGACTAAACAACAACAACAACAAAACAGCCAGCATACTAAAACCAAAATGTATGCATAATTATTTACATAAACAATCAATATGGAATTTAACGATCAATATTACTAATTAAGTGGACTTGAAATACACGTCCAAGGGAATAAAAACACAATTAAAAGTTTAAATGAACAAGAAGATTTATTATTATGAGTTATGACGGTTTGTACAGCTGTACAATCTTTTGCTTTCTTTGACTAATGGCTATTGCACAAAATCTAGCTACATTTCTAGTAACATATGAATTCCAAACAGACAAGAGGTAATTTAAATAGTAAGGTAAAGGTAAAGGGACCCTGACCATTAGGTCCAGTCGTGACCGACCCTGGGGTTGCGGTGCTCATTTCGCTTTATTGGCCAAGGGAGCTAGTGTACAGCTTCCGGGTCATGTGGCCAGCATGACTAAGCCACTTCTGGTGAACCAGAGCAGCACACAGAAACGCCATTTACCTTCCTGCCGGAGCGGTACCTATTTATCTACTTGCACTTTGACGTGCTTTTGAACTGCTAGGTTGGCAGGAGCAGGGACCGAGCAATGGGAGCTCACCCTGTCGCGCGGATTCGAACCGCCGACCTTCTGATCGGCAAGTCCTAGGCTCTGTGGTTTAACCCACAGTGCCACCCGTGTATTCATCCACAAAAGCAGAGTTATGAGAGGGGCTCTGAGCTCTGAATAAAATCTACAGAATATGGCCCCCTGTTTCAATTTCACCATTCTTAATTGCCCCAAGGTCACCGAGTGAGTTTCTTGGCTATGCCACTTTTTCTCAAATTGACAGGGGGATGGGGAGCATATCTTAAGTCAACTCTCAAGTAAAAAGGTGAAGGGTTTTGATGAGCTGAGTTCCTTCTAAATATGTATAACAGCATCCAGGTTTACCTATGCGGAAAGTAGTCTACTGAAGGAGGCTAAACCAGCCAATAGACTGTCAAAAATAATATATGAATAGAAACTTTTAAAACAATAGATGCTAATGAACTCTTGAGCATTGAGTAAATGTGCTTAATGCCATGACCTTTACTTTCTGTTCCTTGAATAGTATGGCTTCTTTAAGAATAACATGTAATGAATACAATAATTAATTTTTTGGGGGGGGGGGTACGGCCTTCAGCTTGATGAATATTTTCTGTCATCATATGCCAAGTGGTTACGCATCAGTATATCATGAATTCTAATAAATAGGTGGGCAGTCAGTCTTCCAGGAGACACAGAAGTATCACCAGAGCATTCTGACTCTGAAGTCCACTCTTGCTGTTTGACGTGAGATTCAAGTCGAGCTTTAACAATGCCTTTGCGTTGGCTTCTCATGCTTGTCCTTTCTGTGTTGCTTCCCTTTTCTGGAGGTAAGATATGCACTGGAATTCAAATATTCAGACATAAATGACAGAACAATGAAATGGGGCTGGAAGGCATCTACTACTAGCATGGTTAGCTTGTGTTCTGTAGCTTTGTCTCCTTGCAGCCTGACATATTCTTAACAGAAAGGTTAGGAGTGATGGTTAAGGTGATGAGGATGGAGAATAGACTGTGTTTGCTTCCTTCCCACCAATGCCACCTGTTTGGGATTGGCCCCAGGTGTACTGCACCTGTAAGAATAGGTGACCCCATTTCAACAGGCATCATTTTTAAAATATGGTAGAATGTCCCTTTAAAAGCTGCAAATGGAAAGCAGTTCACTCTTGAGAAATGTCCCCTCAAAAATGATACACATCAGTGCATCATATCCAGGCAGATTATGAATCTTGCTTATGAACTATGCAAATTTATCAAAATACAATCAATTAATTATTACTCAAAAAACCCACTTTTAAAAAAATTGAGTGACATCTCTAATTAAAATAACTATGTAAAATATGGAAAGCAATTTACTGCATAAAATCTCTCTATGTTATCTCACTCTATATCTTTCTCTCTTTCACCAGTACATTTTCTCTCTCCCTTCTCTCTGTTTCTCCCTCTCTTTCTGCCACTCTCCTTTTCATTTCCTTCTGTCACTCCTCCCTCTGGGCTAGATACACAGAATGAACTGGAATAAGGTAGCTTTTTAATGTGTTCATATGATTAGGTATTGTTGAACTGAGGGGGGAGGGGGAGAAATAATGATTCACCTAAGCTCCAGAGGTGTTTGATCAGCCTGTCCTCCAAGTCACAATCTTATTCTCCTTATTCATCTGCCTAAATATGTTGTCATTTCCCTTTCTTCCAGGAGAATCTAAAGGAACTGCTTGTAAGACAATCGGAGGTAGCTGCATTCCTAAAAAAAACTGTCAGAAGATACATACTGATTCTGACTGCAGCAAGCGTGAGGTGTGCTGCCAGCTATAATGAGATTCAACTCCACGTTATTGCATGGTATATCTTAGCCTCAGTTTCTTGAAAAAAAGAGATGGATCTTCCATGGGAAAGCGAAGAGAGCTAAGTTGTGCTCATGTTAACACAGCGCTGTATTCCACTTAATAAATGTATGCCAAAAATACGAATTCGAAACTCATTTGCAGGTCACAAGGCACTGCCTATGGCCAGGTTTTTTACCTCTGCAAGGCAATGATAGTGATACATTGCAGGAGACAGTCCCGGCTGAGTCAGTGACCCCTCTGATTTCATTCACTGGCCTAAAACACAGAAAGAAAAGACGAGCCAGGAAGAATTATACCTGACATTTCTTTTCATAATATTTTTTCTCGGAGTCTGGGACCCTTCTGGCTGTTAGTCTGGTACATCAGCAGTGGTAATTGGTAGCCCCTGGATCTGGTGGGATGGGGTATGGCCAAGGTGGAGCCAAGTTGTTCTGGTTTTCTCCCAATTATCCTCTTTTGCAAAGCTCTAGCCACTAAAGCATGGCAGTTCTGTAAGTAAAGGTAAAGGTAGGTCCAGTCGTGACCGACTCTGGGGTTGCGGTGCTCATCTCACTTTATTGGCCGAGGGAGCTGGCATTTGTCCATAGACAGCTTCTGAGTCCTGTGGCCAGCATGACTAAGCTGCTTCTGGCGAACCAGATGTTAGGATATTTCCGTTCCACCTTAAAAGGGAGCAGGCTTTGTGAGTCAGAGTCTGCGTATTTCCTGTTCACAGGATGTTTATGTTTTCTGTTGCTTTCGTTTTCTCTCTGTGTCGCAGACACTAAAGCAGTCAGTCATGTTTTTCTGTGTTCTGATCAACGCTGAATAAACTTGTAAATAATGCTCTCCTGAGTGCAACTTTTGGCTGTGCTAATTGCTGATAGAGTGTGCATGAGCTCTGGAATGTGTACAAGATATTTTCTAGAAACTCATGTCGCTGCGTGACTACGGGAGGTCGATGGATCGTCCGGCAGACGGCTTGGGGGCCTTGATGGACTTTATCTCCCTGGCAGTATCCCAACAACAGGTTATGGGCCCAGATTCACAGCACTTACAGGAGAGTAAGACTGCGACAGACTGCTGAAAGGTATGTGGAGGAAAAGCGAAAGTAAGGCTTTTCTGTTGCCGAGGCAAGGGCCTTTGAACTCCGGCTGACTAATGGATCTGGAAGCCGCGCCAAAGGCTTCGTGATTAATGAGCTGCTGAGATAAGACGTCTTTGAAGTGAATAAGACTCACGGCTCAAGTAAAAAGCTGGAATGGAGTTTTTCCAAGCTTCTGAGGCTGAGGAGTGCCCAAAGTTAAATCGGCACAACTACCAGACTTGGGCAAAATGGTGTGAGAGTTTGCTGCGTCAGTTTGGAGTGTGGCATACTGTGTGTGAGGCCCCTCCAGTTCCTCTAACAGATAGATGGAGGGCCGAAAATTTGAAGGCGATAGACATAATAGTCTTGTCCGTCTCTCTGGAGGAAATTAAAACGTTAGCTGGCAATCTGACTGCACGTAAGATGTGGCATGCTTTGAAGATAGCCCATCTGCCAGTCATCCCAGCCCAGAGTTTGACTGCATCGGAGGTCCTGGCTGTTTCCCAGAATGCGAGTGAATGCAGGGATGCCGAGGGCACCGGTTGCAAGCTGCAGGGGGAGCTGGCTGTCATGTCATCCCAGGCAGCATTCCAGCCTCCAGGGGGAGCCAAGGAGTCGGCAGCTGAGAGCTCTGTTTCTCATGGGAGCCAAGGTCATCGCCTTTGCAGAGGCCGGAAGGGCAAAGGTAAACAGAGGCAGACGCCTGCAGATGGCCAGAAGCAGAGGGAGGGTGAAGAGCCCACGCCAGAGGAAAACAACGTTTTGTTTGCTGGCACAGCTTCACCAAAGGCTAAAGGCAAGTCTGATGGCCAGGAGCAGGGGGCAAGCTGCAAAGCCCACGCCAGTGGAAAACAAGGTTTTGTTTACTGGCACAGCTTCACCAAAGGCTAAAGGCAAGTCTGATGGCCAGGAGCAGGGGGGAAGCTGCAAAAGCCCACGCCGGTGGAAAACAAGGTTTTGCTTGCTGCAAAGGCTGCTCCAAAGGCCAAAGCCAGATTTGT